AGCGGGGTACCGGCGCGTGCGTCCATGGCGAAGTTCGCCGGCGCCGGCGCACGCGGGGCGTACGAGGCGGAGAGGAGAGAGTGCGGCGCGAGCGCTCGAGTGTGCCGCGCGCGGAAGCGGGAGCCCCAAATACACCGCGCGGGATAGAGTATCCGACCGCGCGCCCAACTCGTTATAGCGCGCGCGGTTTTTGCGCGCCCGCTGGAGCCACTCGCCGCGTTGCGCGCGCGCTAAAATGGCCTAATTTACGGCGCGACGCGGCGCTAGTCTAGCGCGGCTATTGAAGATACTCTTATTATTATAAGAAAGAAGAAGGATGTTATAGTAGGGGAGCCGCAAGGGCAGCAAGGACCTGAATGCTTCTTGCTCTTTCTCCACATTAACCTGAAGCATGTGTCGGGGCGCATCATTGTATGCAACTTCTGGATCCTTTATTTCACCTACCACCTCCTTGCCGACTTGGGGGAATCCTAACTACAACGCCGGCCGCTCCCCAAATCTAAAGCCCCTCGCGTCGCTGTCGCGAAGTCTTGGCGTGCCCAAAGAGGGTGGCGGCGGGGCGTTCCAGCCTCCTGTGGTGTCATGAAGCGGGGCCTGGACTCCCGTCGGTGAGAGGAGGTTCCGCGGCGAGTTCTCCTCTTTGCACGCCGGCGCTACGCCTATCCAGATGGCTCTCCTGTCCCTGACGGTGCCGGACTGGGATCAGGTGACATGCGCTACGGTGACATGGACGGTGACATGCAGCCCAAATTTAAATTTAAACATTGCAAAAAAATCTGAAAAAAATCATGCATGTTCACAGCACATACTAAGATAACCCCTAAAAATTTCAGATCAAAATTTGAAACATACATCGAGAAACAAAAAAGAGAAACTCAGATGTGAATAGTCTACAGAGAACTGTTTGGGAACTATTCATGACAGATTTCTCTTTTTTGTTTCTTGATGTATGTTTCGAATTCTGATCTGAAATTTTTAGGGGTTATCTTAGTATATGCTGTGAACATGCATGATTTTTTTCAGTTTTTTTCGCAATGTTTAAATTTGAATTTAAGCCGCATGTCACCGTCACTGTAGCACATGTCACCTGATCCGAGTCCGACGGTGCCTCCTCTCTGGCTACGCGCAAGACAATGACGGATCTGCCCGTGGGGCCGCGGCGGAGGGATTCAGCAGGCGTCGTCGCGTCTCGTGGGATGTGTGTGGGTGCTCTGGTCGTGCGTGCGGTGCCCTCTTTTTCGGCGCGTCCGCACGGGCCTGCCGTGGCCATGCATGGTGCTCCTTCCGCTAGTGGGTGCTCCGTTGTTGGTGTGACAGGTGGGCCCAATTTGGAACCTCGCAAGCCTGTAGCTGTTCTACTCGGTGGTGGTGCAGATCTCCTCATATTCGACGGTGCGACAGCCTGCATAGGGTGGATCTTGTCATCGGTGTTACGGCCGCGGTTGGCTTGGGCCTGCAGTTTTTGGTGTCCAGCTAGCCGGCGTTCCTCACGTAGCGGCTTCGGCCCCGACGCTTGGAAGCTGCACTTTTTCTGGCGTCCTGGGCTGGCCGACACTTTGGCGGCTCCAGCTTCGCCGATCCAGGTCCGCGTTTCTTCGGATCCTGGCTCGTTGACGCGGCGGCTGTCATCGCATCCCGTGTGTTGGTTTTTCTACGCCATGTCGTCGGTTCTCCAACCTCGACCGCCACCCCTGGCCTCGCCCCTCCTCCACCAGATCCAATGCCCACGTTTCCGATGGCTCCCGTTGCCACATTCGGCGGCGGGCATAGCTCCCCTTTTTGACGATGGCTGCCCCAGTTCACGACATGTTCCGGTCTTTGGATCTAGTCCGGACGGCTTTGGGATTGTTCGGACATTGGCCAGGACGAGATCCTAGCTTGATGTTGGAGGCGCTGCCATAGCCTATTCTTCGAGCCCCTCTTTGAGCACCGGGGGAAACCCCAGATCCAGTTACATGGATTGGACGATGGTGGCATCACGTCGTCGTTACCCTTCATGAAGGCGTCGTCTTGCTTGCTCGTGCCAGCTACTGTTTTCGAGTTTTGGGGCATCATGGTTGTTTCCTGAATAGAGCCCACCAAATATACTTCAAATCATTTATTTTGACGTTTAACTTATTGGATTAGAGGTGATGTTCTGAATTTTTACACTGAGTGGCTTACTATGTGATACCGCATTTCTTCTTTGTTACAACTGACATAGATGAACTATTCTTGAGATATAATATTTTTTTGCTACAATGCTTTGAAGGCATTTCTATCAGATCTTTGCTTCCAGTGCCAAATGGAAAACGTGTATACAAATGGTATTGAATTCTAGTTTGTCATGAAACCATGTTACAGGAAGGCCGAATGACAATGTCACATGCTCCAACTTGGAGTTAAGGCACAATGGGAGACTTTGGAAGAAAAAACTCGTACATCTGATCGACAGTTAAGGATAGATTATCTCGGCGCAAGATGATACTCCCTCTGTAAAGTGTAAACTGATATAGAAGTGTTTAGATCATTATTTTAGTGATCTAAACACTCTTATATTAGTTTACAGAGGGAGTACTATCAACAGTAATCAAGCGAACCACATGGAGATGGTGGCAATGTTGACGTTGAACTGTCTGGTAGTCCCTGTACAAGGTGTTGGCACAAAATGCTCTGCCGCCGACAAATAAGCTTTCGTCGCAAAAAATAGATAAGTAGCAAGACAGATGAAAGAGTACTATCACGAAGGGAATTGACCATGCATGATCTCATATACAACATGTACCAACTGTCCAACTTAGTCACCCTTGCTTTTAATACTCCCTCCGTCCGGAAATACTTGTCATCAAAATGGATAAAAAGGGATGTATCTAGAATCATATATCGTGTTTAATCAACTAATCGGAATACATCAAACGTATAGAAGTTTTAATCTGCAAAACTGCAACAATGAGAGCACAGGTATGATCGAGGCTAGAACTTTATCCCCACGCATTGCGGTGAACCCCAGTGCTCGCTCTGCATCCCGGTAAACTGGACCTGCTTTCTGCACATCGTGCAATAGGTGGCTTGGCACACCCAGCAGAAAATATACTTATCGTCGCCCTGGATGCACGCGGCCATTGGTCAGATGCAATAGAGACAAACCTGCTTGCATTCATGCCATCTTACGGACTGAAAAAGATAGGGTCTCGTTATATTACCTTGTAAATCTTTTGACGGCATTTCGGGCATTTCACGGTGCTGCCTACCGGCTGGCTTTGAACTCGCATGCGGTTTCCGGTTTCGAGTTGTTCCAGGCGCTTCCGCCAGTCCATCGTGTCCTTTTCCTTCTCCGCAAAGAGGTCACAGTTCCTACTGCAGTTTGTCACAAATCATACACGCATAAAGATAAGTAAGCTTGAGACCCCCTGTTTTTTCTCTAAAAAGACCCTGGATATCTCAGACGACTGGCCTACCTGAAATGGGCATAGCCAGTGATGATAGCCTTACCACAGAGGAAACAGAATGCCTGACCACAACTGATGCACACCACCTTGTTGCAACCTTCGGTTTTGCTGATGGTCATTCTGCATTTTGGACATGACCTAGCATCGTTGTAAAGCTCCTTGATGCTCATCAGTTCCTCCACCATCTCTCTTGCGCTCATCTTGCCAGCTGCCTGCCGAGTGCCTACATAAAATGGAGGACAAGAGGTGGGAGATATTCAGTAACTTGAAATTAAATTTTATCCGACGGCCAATTAGACTGGTAGGGTAGTAATGCGACGAGGAGATGCCAAAAGCATACGAGACTCTTCAAAGATCTATTATAGATGGCAAATGAAATGTATATTTGAAGGATTTACCAACAAACCGCAAGTTGTTTTGTAGTAGTATAATAGTAATGCAATTTTCTTTTTTGAAAAGGAGGAAGTTTGGAACACAAAATAACTTAGTCTCAGTCACCGTCCAACCCCACAACATTTTACTGAAATTTTAGCCATGTAAGTGAAAAAACAGTAAAAGTTGTGCACTAGAGACCGTAAACGGTAAAAAATGACTTATATTTTGGGAAAGAGGGAGTAAGAGATGCATTTATACCTGTCGCTGCCGGATCTTTTCTTCTAGAGTTAGGCACTGCTTCCCTGGATGGCGAGAATCCTTGCACAACGAGCAGAAGACAAAGCAACATTTTGGACACTGCGCATTGTTATCCTCATCTTCCAAGCAACCAATTGCACATCTTGGACAATGAACCACGTCTGACATCGAGTCCAATGCTTTCTCAAGAGTAAGCCTATCCCAGCGTTCGAACTCTTCCTCGTCGAGAAGCCTCTTTAACAAATACGGTGGATAGAAGCAGTGCACTTGGTATCAGGGCATATCAACTGAAACAGAGTACCTTCCTTCACATGCATCTTGCATAATGTCTCCATGCACTTGACACAAAAGAAGTGCTCGCACGGAAGTCTGATGAAATTTGAACCTAATTGTTTCAAAATTAAAGTTAGTTTACCAGGGAAGAAATTTAATGATCCTAATTCAGTTTCTTATAAGAAGCTTAATTAGAAAAGTCAAAATGGCCTACCATTAGTCTGGTTAAGGCAAATCATGCACATATGGAGATCCTCAAGAAAAACTTGATAGCACTTCGTACTACTGTAACTGAGCATGGAAGGGATTACAGACTCCAACGAGAGACTTCTCGAGATCGCACGGTTATCTCCTTTGTGCGTAGGAACATCTGGACCTAATGTTATTGTGCGATCAAACCCGAGGTGCGGCAAAGAAGAACTACGTATCCACTCAACCCATGGATATACCACTTCTTGCCCCGGCAGCTCTGCCCAGATGGTGTCAAGCATCTCACAGAGTCGAGAAACATCAGGCCCATCCATCCATTTAGCAGTGACAACAAAATGCGGGGGATCTTTGCTAGGATATGACTGGGGAAACACACATGTCAATACCAAAGGGGGCAGGTGCTCAAAGCTGCAAGAGTAGGAGAAGTTATCCGGTTCGTCCTCGTGTTGTTCTGTACTGTCATCAAGGCAACATCCATCTCTTGCATGTTCATTATCTGAAGAAAACTTGGCGCATACTTCGGCCCCATCTTGCAAATCATAGCGTATGTAAATCTGCAATTCAAGTTTTTCTTTTTGGAGAAACCATTAGACAAAAATCATCATCAGCATCCAAGAAGAGGTGAAATGACACTGAAGGCCAACAAAGCAAACCTGGAAATAGCGGAGCCCTGCTTTGCTTTCGAATTCGATGAGGTCATCCCCATATATTGCTTCCAACGCCATCAGCTGCAGTGAGATATCATGTGAGAAAACAAACACATTGTGCGTATATTCCTCCCAGCAACTGTCTAAAACTGAAGAGAAAAATCCCTCTGAACCACTTAATAAGTACTCTAGTACCAAATTCCGACGTATGGCCGTATGCATCTGTCGGATGCAGAGGCCGGGATGATCCTCCTTCTCAAAAAATAGAAAAAATTCCAACGTAGTCAGAACATAGTAAGTAGATTAGTGCACTCGACCTCGTCCTCCTGTCGCTGCAGGTTGTCTCGTATCTCATCCTGCCCGGCCTCCTCCTCAGCGCGAAGGCCAACTCCCGCCGCCGTCGCCTCCTCCAACCTCGATCCCGCCTCGGCCACCGCCGCCCACGGGGAGTCCAGGTCGAGCACGTCCTCCTCGCCGCCACCATCACGCGACAACGGCCTCCACGCCTCGGCCGAGGATCCCGTGCCGGGTTCATGGTTGGGTTCCAGCGTGCGCGACGACGACGAGGCGCCCGCGGACGTCGACGCTGTTGCTGCCATGGGGGCACACGAGAGCTCGGTTGATGGTTGGGCACCTGGACTCGCCGGGACAACTCACGCGCACATATTTCGTGTACCAAACGATCACTCATACTCCGATACGAACTCTGGCAAAAAATTCTTTTCCGAACCTACCACTACTTGAATAGCAAAAAAAAAAAGTTATATATATATATATATATATATATACACCATTACTGAAATCTGCGACTTGATATTTCTATTCAACTGATAGACGTCCGCGTGCTACGTGCCCTGCGACATGCCCGTTGTTGCAAAATGCGCAAGTGCAATACGAACTATGTGCAGACCAATGAAGACAAAGCACGTAGCAACCATATCCCTACATTCGTTTTGCAACGTGTGGGAATTTTTTTCTTTAATCGGTGCTATCCTAACATTTCTTTTAAGGAATTTTTTTATATATTCATCTTTAATTATGATAGTACATCAAACGCTATAAATAAAAAAATTACATCCAGATCCGTAGACCATCTAGCGACGACTACAAGTATTGAAACGAGCCGAAGACGCCCCTCCCTCACCGAAGCTAGGCAAAACTTGTTGGGACGCGACTAGGGAGCAAACATGTGCTCCCTGACGTTCCCTGGCACACACCCCATTTAAAGAAAGATTCCGCCCGTCCGTCCAAACACGAAAAAAAAGAAAAGTTCAAGCACTTGGCCCCCTGTCCCGCGTAGCAACCCACACATCCCCGCCCGGATCATTTGCGGGAAAAGAACATGAGATCCCTTTTCCTTCCATGCATCCGTCCTCCCAAATCTCGATCTGGATGAAAGCTCCATCTCGCGCCCGTCTCCTCTGATGGCCATGACCATGCATCAAGAACTGCAGAAAACAAAGAATGAACTCTCAACAGTTTTGTGTTTGCAAACTCAGC